GGCTGTTGCATGTTTGTGAACAGGTTGGATGAGGAAATCTGGGGTATCTGAGTATTTTCATTTACAGAATTTGGGGCAGTCTATTTTCAGTATCACCTGCATCCTAACTTTATTGCTATCTGATGCTACTACCATTTTCTAAGTTCATCTAGGAATTGCAGTGCAAGCAGGATTCTAGGTTTTAGCATTTCTGGTGCACTGTTTGCTTTTGTCATCTGCTTACCAGATTCCAAAAAATGTGTTCACATTCTGTTGTTCCTGTATTAGTCTGTTGGGGCTGCCATCAAAAATACCACAATCTGTGTCACTCAAACAAAATTGATTTCCTTAGTTCTGGAGGATGAATTTCTACAATCAAGGTGCTGTCAGAATTGAGTTTTGGTGATGCCTGTTCTCCTGGCTTGTAGACACATTTTCCTTGTGTTCTCACATGGCTTCTTGTCTTGCCTATGGGGAGAACAAGATCTTTGAGATCTCTTTCTCATCTTACCGGGCATACCAATTCTATGGGAGTAGGGCTTCACCTTTTATCTCATTTAACCTTAATTATCTGCTAAAAAAACAGCTAGGAGTACATAGAAAATGCATGTGTTAGTCTATAGTATTTTAGTTTATATGTTCAGTATTTATGCCTTTTAAAAGAAAGAATTATTTATATTTGAAAGGCAGAGTTACACAGAGAGAAGGAGGGGCAGAAAGAGAGGTCCTCCATCTACTGGTTCACTCCTCAAATGGCTGCAATAGTTGGAGCTGGGCCTTTCTAAAACCAGGATCTTGGATTTTCTTCTAGGTCCCCCTTGTGGGTTCAGGGGCGCAAGAACTTGAGCCATCCTCCTTTGATTTCCCAGGCTATAGAGGGAGCTGGACTGAAAGTGGAACAAGCAGGTGTTGAACAGGTACCCAAATGGGAGGCCAAAGATGGAGGCTTAGGCTATATGCCACGGTACTGGCTCCTAATATGTACCTTTTAGTTGTGGCTCTCAAATGTCCTTGAGATAACAAAAATGAAAATCCTAGGATTTCTAGCATTACATTTTATTCTCATTAGGGAGGGGTTCATCTTCTCCCTACATTCTGACCCTACCTTGATCCTTCATCTTTTGATTTTTTTCCTTTGTGGTTCTTTCAGTACTTGGAGAGAAATCTTCAACTATGAAGATTCAAATTCAGGTTAAACAATATGTATTTTCTTTGTTAGTCATCTGTAACTGTCATAATCCTTGTGGAAGTAAAGTTAGCTAGGCATATGAATTATGTAAAAATGACACTTATCTTCCTTGAATTTCTAAAGAATTTTTAAATTTTGAAGCTAAGAAGCAAAGGGATTTAAGATGTGACTGTGAGTCTATTCTAGCCTTATCCCTCTGTCATGGGCAGGCACCTTTTGTTTTTGTTTTTGTGGGGAAAGGCAGGGTGGCATATAGATGGGAAACCTCCACTGTGATGTTTTAAGTCTTTCAGTTTCTTCCGCTGAAAGGTTGACATGATAGTTAAGCATGTCTCTCAAGATCTTTGTGAAAATTTGCCAAGATAATACATGACACTTAGCACAAAGCATTGAATAACACTGGAGATCCAGTGAGTATTTGCAAGGAAGAGTAAAGATCATAGACTCTTCTTATGTAATTTAGGATTAGAAGCTGAAATATAATATTTCTTTTTTTCTGGCCTGGTAGACTAATAGGCAGTATGGCTGCTGATATAGCAGCTGCCAGATGCTCTGGGACCTCCATCTTCTTTTGTTTAGCTCTAGTTTTCATCACTAGGGTATGGCGTTCAGCTTCTGGATCCAGCATAGGAGTACCAGTCATACCACCTATATTATATAGAAAAAAGTGGAGCAAAAAATGTGGCAAGGGTTTGTGCTAGTTGCTTAATATATATGTATGTATACATAAATATAAAATACATATATTTTTGGGAGACAGAAAGAGGCAGGAGAGTAAGAGGGTTGGTGGGGAGAGGGGGAGGGAGAGAGAAACACACATGTGAGAACATGTGAGCTCCATCTACTGATTCATTCTCCAAATGCCCGTAATGGCCAAGACTGGGCCAAGCTGAAAGTGGGAGCTGGGCACCCGTAACGGCCAAGACCGGGCCAAGCTGAAAGTGGGAGCTGGGCACCCGTAATGGCCAAGACTGGGCCAACCTGAAAGTGGGAGCTGGGCACCCGTAATGGCCAAGACCGGGCCAAGCTGAAAGTGGGAGCTGGGCACCCAACGCAGGAGGCAAGTGATCCTCCCAGGACGTGCAGCAGCAGAAAGCGCCAGCCAGAAGAGGTGAGAGTGGAACTGGCACCCAAACCCAGGCCCTCTGATGTGTTTTGCAGACATAGCCTTGAGGGCATTTAGCCAAATGCCTGCTTTGCTACTGGTCTTTCACAGTGTTTCTTTAAAGCTGCCATTCATTTTATTGACCTCACTTAAACTACAAGAAAATCAGGAAAATGAGATAATACTTACTTTTATTTTAAATATTTGTTTGAAAGGCAGAGAGGGGGAAACAGACAGAGCCAGACTGAGAGAGAGCCTGGCTTAGCCTTGGCTGCTGTGGGCATCTGCAGCACTAGGAAACTAATACACCTTCACACAGCCTTGGAAGTGTTGCACTGTGAGCACGGCTTCCTTGGAATGTAAGTGTACCAAAGAGGAATATTATTCACTGAACTCTTGGGTTTCTTCCCATTTTTGTCTTAACAAGACATTTCATTCTATCTCAAGACTCCATAGAGTTTATTCACAGCCTCTAGTCAATGAATAAATTAAGTCAATCAAAAACATTTAAAAAATGATTTATAAGACTCACATTTTGTGAGTCCATACATGTGTGTTTGAGTATCTTCGGGCGTATATGTTTACATTTCTCAGATCTGGTAATCTGTTCCAACTCGTACTCTACTGGCAAGCAAGTCTTCAATAGTATATATATACAGTAGTTGGATACATTGAGCACTTACTGTATGCCAGGCAATAGCCTCATGTTTACATGCAGATTCTCAGTTGTCATCATCCAGGGAAGTGCTTTTTTTTTAAGATTTATTCATTTTTTTTTTGGAAAGTCAGACATACAGAGAGAAGGAGAGAGAAAGATCTTCCATCCACTGGTTCACTCTCCAGGTAGTTGCAATGGCTGGAGCTGAGCCATTCTGAAGCCAGGAGCCAGGAGCCTCCTCTGGATCTCCCACACAGGTGCGGGGTCCCAAGGTCCTGGGCCATCCTCTGCTGCTTTCCCAGGCCACAAGCAGGAAGCTGGAAGGGAAGTAGAGTAGCTGGGACATGAACTGGCACCCACATGAGACCCTGGTGCATGCAAGGCAAGGACTTTAGCCACTAGGCTATTGTGCTGGGCCCTGGGAAGTGTTTTATTTTTCATCTTAACTCAAAAAATTGGTTAAGTCTTCAAAAAGGCTCATTTGCCCAAAGCCACACAACTGGGTGCTTACAGCATTAAGTGGAAAAGCCAGACACTAGGTGGCTCCTAAACCTCAAGCCCACCATATACTTAATGGTCAAAGTTCTTAATCTAGGATTCAAAACATTACATAGTATCACAGACCTCTTACCTTTCTTCTTGTTTTCTATCCCAAACTGTCTACTCTTCCAACTGGTTGACCCATTGCCCCCGAAGCTCCTTATTTCTTCTAGATTTTGCTCAAACTCCCTATAGCAATCTTATCCAATCTTTGTCTCCCAGGTCCAGTGCAACTTAACCTCTTTCCTAACACTCCAGGATTTAGTGAGCAGTTCCTCTTCTTCAGTGGTTACCCTGTGGCTGTGGAGGCTCTTGGTCCTCTAACACTGTATTCAGTAGAGGCGACCTGTTTGAGACACAAAGGCTCAAACACAAGCAAGCGTTAGTGATCCCTTCCCCACCAGAGGAGGCACTTACAGGCCAGGATCGGGTGCCTGTGTGTGGTCGATGACATGCTATATGAAGATATACTGAGATGAGTGAAATTGTCTACTGGGGTGTGTGGGCCTGAGACGGTGGCAAGGCCTCCTGCTGCCTCTTCGTCCTCAGGTCTGAAAAGGCTTTTGGAGCTCTGTTACCTTTCATACCGCCTCGGGCTCGCTTTTGCGCATCACTCCGCCACGTGTTGACGTTTGAGCTGAACCACGCGCCCGGTCCCCCTGGAAACCGTTAGCGACCGCCTCCCTGGACCAGGTGGCTCTCCAGCATCTTTACGGGGACAGGAGGAGGGACTGGGTCGCCAGGTGTAGAGGAGAAACCCGGGGTCCCGTTGGCCGTAACTACGCGTTTTCGGAAAGCCCGCGTGCGGCGCCCCAGGCATATCCGTTGGACACGGCGCCCTGCGCTGCCCCTGGGCGGGAGAGGGCGCGGAGACGGCAGCTCGGCCGCATCTGCACCGAGGGGGCACCCGGGCCAGTGCGCACCGGGGGCGCGCCCGTCCAGCGCCTGCCGACAACGGAAGTGGGTGCCACGGGTTCGCGGTGATTGGCTGCACTTCGATGCCCCTCAAGGGGCTGGCGCCAACTCCACCGCGGAGCGGGGAGAGGGGCTCTGGAGAGGGGCGGGGGAGAACCGCTGGGAACAGCCGCGGAGCCGAGTGGAAATGAACTGCGGAGGGCTGGGGCGGCCCGTCGTCGCGGCGCGCCTAGACGCCCGCCAGTGACAGATGGGCATGAGGAGGAGTGGCCGGGGCAGCCGCGGCCCGGCTTGAATAGACCGCGGAGGGCGGGGAGGCGGTGGTCGGGCCGGGCGCTGCGGCGCGGTAGGCGGGACCGCGAGGCGCGAGGCGGGGATAGGCGGGCATCCCCAGGCTCCCGTGCGTCGGCGGTGACGCACGCATCGGGGCGGGTGCGCGCGCGTTCAGCGGCCTCTTTGTGTGGTTCTCAGATAGCGGAGCGGAGGTGGCGGCTGCTTTGGTGGCCCTGCAGGCTCCCCGGCTCGCCCTCCACCGCGCGCCGCTCCCCTTCCCGCCCCTCTCCGCACTCCCTTCCCTGCCCTTCCTCGCCTTCCCCGCCGGAGAGCGGCGGCGGCGGCCCCAGCGACGGCTGGGCCCGAGGTGTGAAGAGGCCTCCACCAACGGTCACGGCGACGGCGAAGCCTCGGAGCTCGCAGGGCGGGGGCAAAGCCCGTGCCGTGGGGATGGAGAATTCCCAGTTGTGTAAGCTCTTCATCGGCGGCCTCAACGTGCAGACGAGTGAGTCGGGCTTGCGCGGCCACTTTGAGGCCTTCGGGACCTTGACGGACTGCGTGGTGGTGGTGAACCCCCAGACCAAGCGCTCCCGATGCTTTGGCTTCGTGACCTACTCCAACGTGGAGGAGGCGGATGCCGCCATGGCCGCCTCGCCCCACGCTGTGGACGGCAACACGGTGGAGCTGAAGCGGGCCGTGTCCCGAGAGGACTCGGCCCGGCCCGGCGCCCACGCCAAGGTGAAGAAGCTCTTTGTCGGGGGCCTGAAGGGAGACGTGGCCGAGGACGACCTGATCGAGCACTTCTCGCAGTTCGGCACCGTGGAGAAGGCGGAGATCATTGCTGACAAGCAGTCGGGCAAGAAGCGCGGCTTCGGCTTCGTGTATTTTCAGAACCACGACGCGGCCGACAAGGCGGCGGTGGTCAAGTTCCATCCGATCCAGGGCCATCGCGTGGAGGTGAAGAAGGCCGTCCCCAAGGAGGACATCCACCCCGGCGGGGGCGGCGGCTCCCGGGCCTCCCGGGGCCGGGGCGGCCGGGGGCGTGGCGGGGGTCGAGACCAGAACGGCCTGGCCAAGGGCGGCGGTTACAACAGCTACGGGGGCTACGGCGGCGGGGGAGGCTACGGCGGCTACGGCGGGGGCGGCTCGTCGTACGGGGGCAACGACTACGGGAACGGCTTCGGCGGCTTCGGCAGCTACAGCCAGCACCAGTCCTCGTACGGGCCGGTGAAGAGCGGCGGCGGCTGGGGCGGCCGCAGTAACAGTGGACCGTACAGAGGCGGCTACGGGGGCGGGGGTGGCTACGGCGGCTCCTTCTGAGCGGGTGGCACCCCTGGCAGCGGCTCTAGGGACGGCTCTTCCGGACAGCCCGGGTGGGGTCAGCTCCTAAGTCCCTCACTTGTTCCACCGCCCTCCCCGTTTCGCCCTTGGGGGGCCTTTGTGGCTGCTCACCCTTGGGAGACCCCCGTTTGCCTGCCACCTCTCTCTCGCTGAAGACGGACTTGACCCCACATACACATTTTTGTGTTACAGTCATTGATGGACTCTATTTTTTTATTATTACTTGGACTTTGGTCGTTTTTATACTAGCAGAATGTCTTGTTTTGATTTGTGTTATTTGGGGCGGGGGTGGGTGGGTGGGTGGGAGTGAACTTGCTGATTCTGTAGCAAAACCTGGGCTGGGGTTTGGGATTTGGAGGGTAGTTCACTTTGTTGTAAGGACTTGATACCCGACTATAGCATTTTTTATGAAATCTACTTGGATCTCTTGCCTGAAATTTGGAAGTATGTACAAAAATCATTTTTATGTTTTATTTTTAATAAATCATTGTGTTTGACCATACATGCCTTTTTTTCCCCCTAGCATCCATTCCTTATCTACTTTAAGGTATACTTAAAAGTTTAAGGATTTTTTGGTGTGCTAATTCTTAATTTTGGATATGTACCTAGAAAAACTTCTAAGAGGGTCTCTGGTTTTATTCTTGCCCTGTTGCCTTGCTAGTGACATGTTGGATTTTATCCCTTTCACACAAAACTTAAAGAGTGCTGGATGTTACTTTTTAAAGTGTGCATCCATCTCTTGTACCAAAAGATTTACATATGGTTTTTACATAGTTGGTCACTTCTAATTAAAAGTGTGTACTGTGTAAATCTAAAGAAATAATTTGTTAAGCCTGTACTTTCATTCATAGAAATTGCTTAAACTTTTTCAGGTGGCTGAGTTCCATCCCTCCTGCTCATTTGTCTTTACTCAACAGCTACAAGTAAGGGTTAAGTTTTACCCTCTCACTAAATACATTTTTGGATTTTCAGAGTCAATTCAGTTTTTTCCTGCTATTTCTGAACTGCTGTCCTTTTTCCAAATCCTAGCAATCTTTGTAGCACCATCTACTGACGGAATGGCAATATAGCTGTGAAACAATTGTTAAACATCAGATTTGGAAGTTTTGCCATCAAAACTCTATGCAGACTTCGGATTTACATAGTTAGCTGTAACATGGGCTTCCCAGAAATGTACTTCTTATCCATATCACAGCCATCCTTTCTACCTGGATTAAAAAATGTAAATCAGTATGTGTGGCTTGGACAGTGACCCAAATCACTATGGCAACCAATGAACCAGGTAAATAATGTACTGGTACCTTAGGTACAATATGTAAGGCAAAATATCTGTATTCTGCTTGGTGAACTAATGTATACTTGTAGCCCTTTCATGCAATAAAATTCAGTTGTTTATTAAAAGACCTGATAATAGAAAATTCTCTTCCTGGTTAGACATAGAGAATAGCAACATTAATGGATACCACAAATGAAGAATTCAGTTCTTTACATTCAGTTGAGAGTATGTATAACCTGGTGAGATGGTTCAGAATGCCTTGTAACCTCATATACATAATTTGATGTTTGTGATAAAATATTTGACCTAAATTTTTGGTTTGAAAACCCAGAGTTAAACTAACAAGGTTTCTGAAAAGGTAAAGTGTTGTAGTTAAAGTGAAGAATTCTTGTGATGGTTTGATTTCGAATCCTTGCTAGGGTGCTAAGCTAGGTTAAGTCTGCTCAGTAGTCACTTTGACAAGGATGCTTGATTGATACACTGGTCACTTTGACAAGCTGGTACTTGGTACATCTGTGTATCTGATGCATGTTGGTGACAAATGGGGTAGGTGTTTCTACACTTCAAATGAAGTATGCTGTGTCATAGACATAGATTTTTGTCAAAAGGTTTTAATTTCTTCTTTTTTTTTAGGTTAGTAATACTATACACTATAGATGGGCAACTTTATTTGATAATTTGTCCCAGATTTTGAGGGACCAGAACACGATAACCTTGCATTTTTATTACAGTTGGTAAGGGTTGCTGTGCTTGCTTTTCACTTAGTTTTGTAGACCTGTTTCTTCTGGGTCAGTTGAAAAGACTGGGGAGGGTAGGAGCTTGAGTTAGTTGTTTTGTCATCTTCTGTTCACAACGCAGTGGCTTCCCAAAAGCCCGGCAAATGAATTACAGAAAATCTTTTATTAAATAGAAAAAAGTAACTTGTTAATGTTAGCAGTTCTTTGTTGTGTGTCTGCTGTTAAAAATTTTGTGTAATCTGGATTGGTATTCAGTGAAGGAAAAAACCTAGTAGTGTTGAGTCTTTCCTGGGTTCTTGACAGTTCTTATGCAAACATTTTGGCAAGTGGGCTTTTTAGAGCGGAGGGACACACAGGTATGTTTTGATTCCCTTCACTTGGGAGAATTAGCTTAACATTTTTAATTTTTAGCAGGAATTCATAGGATGGGGTGGTGCAGAATCTTGTCAGTATCAATATAGTTTTTGTGTCATACTTGAATATGATTTGTAAGATTCAATCAAAAATAATTTGTCTCCCTTGAAATTTTCTTACATTCACAGTTAGTTGGAAGTGGTTTCAAAGTCTTTGAAGATGATAGTAACTTCTCTTAAAAAGCTTACAAATGATTAAGATTCATTGTAGTATCAAATCAGGGTGAATGATGTTTCAGAACATGTCACATCAGAGTATTTGCTTTTAAGCAAGGTTAAAGGATTTTGAGGATACTTAAATTTGGCATTTGTAATTATTTGTAATTATTTCCCAGCCATAAATGACAGTGTCTGTTATTTGTAAGTATACTTATTTACTGTTTAAGTGAGCATTTGTTTCTGGAATTGCAGAATTTGCATTTTAGGTTAAATTTTGTGTTCTGTGTTTTTGCTGATTGAAAATGGACATGTGGATATTGCATTGATTTGAGCAGAATTGCATCAAAACTATAGATTTTACCCAAAAACAGGACATGGGCACTTAAGGTAAGTCTCTTGTCTCCATTCTTAATTAATCATGTAGCAATTTGATCTTTGGTAAAAAAACCTCCCTCTTATCCCTATGGTGGGTCTACAGAGCAGGACAGACTGCTGTTAACACAGGGTGTGTCTGTTTCTTGCTTACTGTCTTGTCAAAGGTTACTTTCGTGTGCCTTATATCATTTTGTAAAAATTGAAAACATATTGTAAATCTTTTTCCAATAAAAGGCCCCTTGAAAGAATGCATATAATTGAAACATGTCTACTATTCATGAGGATATTTGGAAAAGGTTGTGGAAAAATAGAAAATTTAATGTGGTACAAAACAGTTTTGAGATTCATGTATTTTTTCATAATGAGCATTTGCATTAACACTGGAGGACCTTGCATAAACTAATTTTAAAAATGGTAGGAATGGTTATCGTGACACTGGTTAGTTAATCACTGCTTGGGATGCAAATATCCCATGTTGGATTCTGGCTCCTCTACTTCCTGTTCAGCTTCCTGCTAGTGTGTACTCTGGAAAATGGCAATTGATGGCTCAAGTTCATGTGGGAGACCTGGACTGAATTCTGGGCTCCTGCTTTTGGCTTGGCCCAGCCCTGGCTGGTGCAGGTAATGGGGGAATGAACCAGAAGATGGAAGATCACTGTCTCTATCAAATAAAATGAAGATAAATTTTTAAAATTGATGAATATTACAATGTTGCATAACATTTGAATTGTACAGGTCACATAAAGTACCTATATTTCTGACATAATAAAAAACAGTCTTACACTTAGGGCTTATATATTTATTTAATTTTTTTAAAGATTTATTTATTTATTGGAAAGTCAGATATACAGAGAGAGGAGAGGCAGAGAGGAAGATCTTCCGTCCAATGATTCACTCCTCAAGTGACCACAATGGCTGGAGCTGTGCCGATCCGAAGCCAGGATCCAGGAACTTCTTCCGGGTCTCCCACACAGGTGCAGGGTCCCAAAGCTTTGGGCTGTCCTCGACTGCTTTCCCAGGCCACAAGCAGGGAGCTGGATGGGAAGTGGAGCTGTTGGGACTAGAACCAGCTCCCATATGGGATCCCGGTGCGTTCAAGGAGAGGACCTTAGCCACTAGGCCACGCCGCTGGGCCCAGGGCTTATATATTTAAAACAATAACTATTGGAATTGAAGTCATAGCTGCTTGCATATCAGAAAAAAAAAAACTTGAAGTTGTACCAGTATGAACCAGTTCCTTTCTTGAAGCTACGTGTGGGATGAGTTAGGGGGAGAGCCAGGCTGGGCTAAGTGACCATATCAGCTGGTGTATGCATGAGCCAGAGTAAGTGCAGGCTGGTCAAGCTTTGCAGCAGCTTCAGCTGGCAAGTGCTGGGAATGGAAACAAACATATCAGATTAGACTGAAGAGCCACCTGTAAAGTGCAAGATCCAGGCTGGGAGTGGACACCTCTTTGATGGGCTGCAGCTCCCACTGGGCTGGTGCATGGGCCTGGCTGGACAGGCAATAGCACCTGCTACTATAAATGTAGGCTAGGTAGTGAGGTCGGTTTGACTGAGCTAGACTGTAGCACCCATTGATGTGTACAAAAGCTGAATGGGATCTGAGATAGAGTGGACCAGTCTGCTGCACATATGGGCATGAACAGGAGCTAATACCGGGGTGAGGTTGCTCCAATCTCTGGTAGAGGTTATTGGAGGTTGCTTCAACTCTGTTGTAGTTCCTGCTGGTGTGTGAGGGCTGAATGTGTAGTGGGCAGGATTGGGCTGGGCCATAGCATCCATTGGTTTGTGTATGAGATGCAGCTGGAGACAGAACTGACCCAGCAACTGCTACCACCAGAGTGTGTAGAGGCTAATCTGGGTGACAGACCAGATCCTGCACTGGCTGGTACATGCAGGAATAAGATATGGAGTCATCTCAGATGAGATTTCTTTGGAAATCCTAAACCTTTACAGCTGGAACCTCTGGACTCAGAACTCCAACCACAGGAGAACTCCAATAACAGGATCAGTGGTCTGACCATGGAGAACATGTGTCAGAATTAGGCCTCCTCAGTTGCTGAAGCTGGTGCAGTAGGTGGCATGTCCAGATGCACATATGGGATATGGCAACCCATGGGGCCTGCAGGGGACATCTAGTACCATGGCAGAGGATGGAGGGCAGGACAAATTGGATGACTCTCTTGGCCACGTTTTGACAGCAAGTATCTGGGTGAATGCAGACTCTAAGTTGGATTGTGTCAGCCAGTGGACCTTGGAAGGATTGCCTCAACCTTGGAGCAATGAAATCACCAGCATTTCAGAA